ACCACAACCAGCTGCCTGGATGCCAAAGACGGTGGGAGGTGTCTTAGAACCAAGCCCAAATCAACACCTGAGACACCCTCAGACATACTCATGGCTGACCTTGGCAGTGGGTGTAGGCCGTGACTTACAGCTTGCTGATAATAAGGGTGGGTGTCTCATTCCTCTACAAGGGTGACTGCCACCTGTGTTGGCACAGCACTTATCTGGCAGCTGCCAGAGCCCAGCCCTGCGCAGGTGTTGCCAGGAACCTGATAGTAGCCATAATCGGCTCTTAGCACCAGGTTGGTGCCATCTGGAAAAAATGGCCTTTCTTTCCTGGCCATTATCAGAGGCAGAGCCAATGAAACATTTGTCCCTGGGTTTCTGCCACCAGTGGAAGGGTTTCTCTTCACCGCGCTGCTCAGCACCCACAATTCCATTCACTAGACATACCTTTGGGTCACCAAAGCCCGTTGGGAGATCAGGGAGGTGAGTGGATGACTTCTTTCATTCATCAAGTTAGAGACTCTGCATCTGGTGATTGGGGAGGGGGTGGCTAGGAAGAGGGTGATGCAGAGAAGTGGGAGGGGGCAGTTTTTCTTTCTCTTCACATTGTTCTCTCAAAGAAGCCCTGAGTGTGGTTCTCGAGAGATGCAGTGGCATGACGGGCACCCAGGTCTGTGAGCCGCCCTTGGGTATTAGCCCTTGGGCCAGTGGCATAGCCTCCCTGGCCTCTGAGCCTCCCGGCTTGGTGACTGTTTGTGTGGAGTGATGTTCCAAAGGGCAGAGAGTCTGCAGGCTGGCTCCTGAGCACCACACAGCTCTTCGTTCTTTACTCTGCCCGTGTGTGGTCAGGTGAGGTTGGGAGTGGGCCCATAAATGCAAAACGGGACACAAGTGTGGTAGGAGGTCCCTGCCAACCATGGCTGGGTCCCCAGTCTGTGGTTGGCCAGGCTCCTGCTCCTTGGCAACTTGACTCAGGCATTCCCTACTGGGATGCCCACATTCTTGCCATTCTCTGCCCACTTTCCAAGGGCTTTTGGAGGTCAGCATTCAAGGCTGATGGGTTCAGTGGGTCAAGGACCAGCCCTTGTTGCTCCTTTTGTGGATGGTACCCCTCACTCCACCCTTCCCACCCTCCCTCCCTCTTTCACAAGCATCCAGGCTATGGGGAATGACAGAAGCAGATGGCAACAGCATCCCGAGTGAATGAGAGCAGGGCAGATCCTTAATCAGGCAGACATGCTATAAGAAAGCCCACCGCTTCCCCAAAGGAAACACTCGTACTTCCTATAGTCCGTCAGCTGTTGGTACAGTGATGGCGGAGTGGCTCCCAGAAGGAATCAAGCCTGATCCCCCCCTCAACAGAGTCAAGGCCTCATTGACTCCCTGGCAGGGGTGCTGTGTCTGCATGGGGTCAGTTCCCCAGTCCATCCTCCCAGCACTTATATTTGGCTAGAACTGGGGCTAGGTTTTATGAACCCTATACTGTGAGGAACCATGGAGTCCAGCTAGGTACGGGACAGCCTAGGGATGTTCTTGCTCTGCTCAGGAGAGCCAGGATTGGCTCTGAATCACATGGGGTGGAGGTGGCCTTTCTTGTGCCCAGCCTGCCTTGAGGCCATGTCCTCTTTGTGTGCCCCTAGCCCCCTCCCCTGCCTGAACCCCTGGTTATTCTGGGAGCTTTTAGCTACCACTTAGTCAGCCACTAATGCGTCAGGCTGGGGAGTGAGGGGGGAGACACGGTGCCAGACGGTGCTCCTTTTAGACACACAGGATGGAAAGGAAGCAGGGGGAGCCAGGAGGTGGGAGGTGGGGGACTGCCAGAGGATGGGAGACTTTCCCACTCCTGGCCCTGCTCCTTGGTAGCAAGCAGTAGGGGAGGCTGATGGGCAGTGGGTCAGTATGTCCTTGGGTTAACTGGAGCCATTGCCCCACCACTGAGGCCTAACCTTCTGGATTCTTCTTTCATTACTTCTCTCTCAGGTGTCAGCATGTGGCCTCTGTCCTCTGTTCCTGCCACAGTCAGCTTCCCCATCTTTGCTCACACTCTTTCCTCTGCCTGCATAGCTCTTCCCCGTTCCTGGCCAATCCAGCTTTTATCTGTCTCCCCATATCGTCGGATTCACAAGGCAGCCAAAAGAAAGTGTTTAGGGATGGAAACACTGAGCCTGAACCTTTTAAAGGTAGACTCCAGTGTGCTCAGCCCTACCTAGGCAGCGCCTGGCCCAGCTCTCTCTGAGGTGATCCTTGCCATGAGGCCTTGCTGTTGCCTTCACTTCCAGGCAGCCCTCCTGCCCGGAGCCCCCAGCCCCCGCTCCTGCCGACCTGAACAAAGCTTTCTTTCATGTATTCATGGAACTGCTGCCCTGACACTTCCCGGGCACAATCAGGCCCTTTGAGGGCCTCGGGCAGTGCGGGAGCCTGGGCTGGGGCCGGGGTGGAGAATCGGCCAAGGTCTTGTCCTTGGGCTGAGCTGGTGCCATCCCCTTCCTCCCCTAGTCCGTAACACATCACCAGACACAGATCTGGGAGGGACAGGAACCTGGGAGTCATTGGAGGGCTGATGAGAGTCCTGGGAGAGCGTAGGAGCTCCTGTTTGTTCTGTAAAATGGGGCCAGCAGTTCCTGCCTTCCCCCACTCTGACTTTGCCAGGGTTTGAGTGGACCGGGCTCACAGATCAATGGAGTGCTGGCCTTACTCAGCTGCTGACACTGTCCTGACCCCTGACCTTCATAGTCTCTGTGGGTCTTTTGGGGAGCAACCCGAGCTCCCTCCTGGGACTATCTGCTTAGTGAGCTTTCTGTGGTGTGGGTGCCTCATACCTACACTTCTGAGCAAAGCCAAGTATTCCCCTCATACTTTGTCCTTGGTGCCTCTGACTCTTTCAGGACTGCTTTTCCGTAGCCCTGCTACCTCCTAGAAAAAGGCTCCCTCCATCGTCCCTGCTGCTGCCTTTACCTCGCTTGAGTTGACTTGTGCATTCGCCTTGCCTGGCTCTTCTCTGAGGCCTGGGGGTGTGACCTTGATCCAGGTGCTCAGAAGCTAAGGAGACTGACTGGTGGTCAACATGGCCTGCGAGTGTTTCTTTCCCTTGAAGTTGGGGCTGTGGGTCTCAGTAGCCCAGCATCCCCAGGTGCTGATGTGGCCCTTCCCCCCCCCCCCCCCCCCCCCCCCCCCCCCGGCTCCTGGACTGCATGTCCGGGAAGTGGAAGGGGATCTGTGCCACCTGGGACTTGCTGCTCAGGTTGCTGCTTAGGCTGTGGGTGGAAGGAGAGTTGTGAGTCGGAGAGACCGAGCGTCTGCCAGCTGCTGACCCCAACTTCACGGTTTTATCCCAGCTGGAAGAGAGCGGGAGGACAGTGCCCAGGATCTTCACCATTAAGCACCTCTATGCGGACAGCAGCACAGAGCTGGGCTCTCATCCCCTGCCCTGCGCATCTGGGGCTAATGAGAGGCAGCTTTGGGGTCCAGGGTATAAGAGGTAGGGTGTCTGACCGCCCCCCCCCATTGCTGGATCAAGCTGTGGGTAACATGGCCCCAGGAGAGTCAGGCCAGTCAGAGGGCAGCAGACTCAGCACTTCACTCGGTAGCCAGCCAGGCTCACATCTCCAGGAATGTTCTTGAGAGCTGATACCGTCTGGGCGAGCCAATCTGTCCTGCTTGCTGATGTGACCTTGGCCAGCCAGCCTTGTCCCTCAGGGGGCCTCCTTTTCCTCCCCTCTTCACCGTCAGCCAGGCCACAGCAGAGATGCAGAATTTGAATGACTCCTACTGTCTGTCTGGGATCACTTGGCTGTGAAGAAGCGTGTGTTCAGGACAGGGAACGAGGGAACGAGTCGTACGCAGTATGTTCTTCCCATTCCTTGCTCCGGATGGATGCAGGATCAGTAGGAATGGCTTAAGCGGCAGCAAGGAGGATGCAGGGCAGACCTTGAGGAACCGGCAGGTTTGTTTCTGCTCGGACTGGGTCATGTCCTGCCTGGGTGTTACTGCCAAGCTGGCTGTCTCGGAGTTTGCAGCAGCTGAAAAAACAGTGGTTAGACAATTCAGGGGTGAGGCCCAGGCTAATCAGAAGTCAGGGGACAGAGGCTATGGTTGAGTGCCCAGGGCATAGCCAGAGGCCATCCCATCCCTGTAATTTAGTCCTGCAACCAGGACAACCTCAACAATGTCCTTAGAGATGAGACAGCTTCTCTCTGGAGGTGGCGGCTGTAGACAGTTTCTTTTTTTGGGCAAAACTGCCCTGGTCAGCCCTCTTCTGAAAGGCATAGGCTGTACTTTTTGAAGGTCCCCTGTCCCAGAGCTGCTGGGAAAGAGAGCCCCAGAAAGAGCTGGCATCTGGGTGGATGAAATCAGGTTAAAGGTTAGCTTAGGAGACAGAAGCAGGACTGTTGGTTTAGGGGTGCTACCCACCCGCTTTCATGTATTCCTGGGTTGTCTGCTCCTTGGTCTGTTTCCCGACTGTATAATACTGTATAATGGGGAGGAATGGATGTTGAGATTTGCTCCAGGGCTGTAATGGTGCCCACTAAGGGCTGGAGGGTAAGCCAGGAGGGGTTAGAGACAACTTCTCAAAGGAAGATTTGGAGTTGTGAATGCAATGGTTGCCTGGGAATTGGGACTCTAAGTGGGGTGCTGTTGGCTTCTGGAAAGGCTGAGAGTGAGACGGACCAGCCTACAGATTCCTTCACAGGACAGAGCTGATGGTTTTCCCGTACCTGCCCAGCCTCTCAGGAATGTGTGTATGTTTGGAAAAGGTGTCTGCTCTCCCCGGGGTCCCTAAAATGCCCCTCACTCTGAGAAAACACACACTGTGGGGGAAAAGACCATGGCTTTGGGTGTGGACGCATGGTTTCTGGAGCCTGCCGTGACCTTCTTTATGTCAGGCTCACCTCAGAGGCCTTGTCTCTGAGCCTCAGGGCTCTGAGCGTGGAACATCAGTTAACCGGCAGAGTCTGGTATACCTGTGGAAGCTCAAGGGTTCTCTGGCTCAGGGTGTTTTTCTCTCTCCTGCACAGGGCAGGACCATGTGGACTTTGGCCAGCCTGAGCCCCACACCGTGCTTTTCCATGAGCCGGGCAGCTTCTCTGTGTGGGTGGGTGGACGTGGCAAGGTCTACCTCTTCAACTTCCCCGAGGGCAAGAATGCCTCTGTGCGCACGGTGAGCTTGGGTCTCCTCTGCCCTCCCCTTCCCTTTCCTCATCCCAGGCTTCTGGTCCTGGTAAGGGCCCTGAGGGAGTGTGAAGGCGCTGGGACATCTTTCTACCGAGGTCCTTCTATCTCCATAACCTCACACACGGTTCCTGGGGGAAGTTACTGTTGGTAGTCCACGTTGGAGTGGAGTCAGGGTATCAGGAGAAAAGCTGGGAGCTAACACATGGCCAGGCAGGTAGTGCTGATGGGGGAAGCCAGGCAGGGAAGCTGGATTCTGGAACCCATAGCCAGCCTTTTGCGATTGCTAGGCTCTGCTCCCTGGTATCACACAAAGAGCCTATGTGACCTTGGGAAATTTGCTTACCCTCGCCAAGTCTCAATTACTTTCCTGGAAGATGAGAATAATGGTCTCATCCAGGGCTTGTCCTATGGCTGCGTGGACAGCCTTTCAGGGACAGTCTCATCCCTCGAAGAGGGACTAACGCTTCTCCCCTCCTCTAGGTGAACATCGGCTCTCCGAAGGGGTCCTGCCAGGACAAGCAGGTGAGCAGGAGGGACAGACCATGGGAAAGGCGGGGACCCTGGGAAGAAAAAGAACCTGAGAGTTGGAGGAAGGGAGGAAACATTGCTTGGCCTTGTATTCTCCAGATTTGTGGGGTTGGGGGAGTTTGGTCAAGTCTTAGGGCCCCTAGTCAGAGGGGGAGACATGGGCCCCCAACATTGGCCTTGTTCAGAGCGGGGAGAGAGTCAGCTGGCCTAGAAGGCTGATCAGCCTTTTGGATGTCTTCTTTCCTAAGACTGAGGGTCCTAGTGTCTGCTGGGCCTGCCAGCGACTCCCACCCACCTAACAGTCTCCTAACCCCACACAGGACTGCGAGAACTATATCACTCTCCTAGAGAGGCGGGGAAATGGGCTGCTGGTCTGTGGCACCAATGCCCGGAAGCCCAGCTGCTGGAACTTGGTGAGAACCCTTCCCATGTGCCCGAGCAGCCCTCATTTCTTGGGTTGGTGTCAGCCCTTTACGGCCAGACAGAGATGGGGGATTCTGAGACCAGCATTACCCTGAGCACAGTCTCTGGGAAAATAGGGTCCTGGCTGGGAAATTGGGTGCAGTGGCTGGTGGTCACGTGGTCATCTGCACCTCTGATCTCCTCCAGATGAATGACAGTGTGGTGTTGCCACTTGGTGAGATGAAAGGCTATGCCCCCTTCAGCCCGGATGAGAACTCCCTGGTTCTGTTTGAAGGTAGAACAGCACTGCCACCGGGGCCCTGGGAGGGGGCTAATGCACCAGGCTTGGGGTAGGAGGGTCAGCCCCTTGTTCAGTGGCCCGAGCCTGGGAGGAGGACTTATAGAAGTTATTGCCCTTATCCACATGTCCTCCTACTATTCCAGGGGATGAAGTGTACTCTACCATCCGGAAGCAGGAATACAATGGGAAGATCCCTCGGTTCCGCCGCATCCGGGGCGAGAGTGAGCTGTATACCAGCGATACAGTCATGCAGAGTGAGTCAGATTGGGTTGAGGGTGGACCAAGGGGTGCGAATGTCCAGGATGGCAGATTCTATCCTGATATATTTCAAGAGGACTCCCTGAAAGGCACAGACCTGGACAGCCAGGACTGAGGAGTTTGAGTTTCTGGGAGGAGGAATTGTAAAGAGGCTGTCGGGCCAGAGAGGTCTGAATTATTCTGGGAACAAACACAGGGGAAGCTCAGACCTAGCACGAGGCTCAAGAGCCAAAGTTCATCTTTCTCATGAGCCTGTGTTGGGCAGAGGGCCCCATCTTCCTCATTAAGGCTCTGTTGATTAGGCAGAAGTGACATGGGCACCCCAGGGGGTTTCCTGCAGTCCCCAGGCATGAAGTCATTGCTCCTGGGCCCATGACATCTTTGTAGAAGAGGACATAACAGGTGTGGGGTATTGCTTTAGAATCAAGGGCCCCATGGGGCCTTAAGTGCTGTTCTCGATTCATATATATCTGGGAGAGGTGTGCAAGGTTAATGTGTACCCCACACAAGTTTCTGGCCTCATACCCTATCACCCATGTCCTTGGCAGACCCCCAGTTCATCAAGGCCACCATTGTGCACCAAGACCAAGCCTATGATGATAAGATCTACTACTTCTTCCGGGAGGACAATCCTGACAAGAACCCAGAGGCTCCTCTCAATGTGTCCCGAGTGGCCCAGTTGTGCAGGGTGAGCCAGATATGTGAGGGGTGGCTGGGTGAGTGAGAAATGTGTCTGTATATCTACAATAGGGGTGAGTGTGCATATGTGTGTGTTTGCATGCATGGCCCTGTGGGAATTTGTGTGCCTGTGAATGAATGTGGTTTAGCGTCTGTGCATATCGGATATACGAATATATGAGTTCATAAGTACCCGTGTGTTTACCTGTGTGTGTGTGTTTGTGTGGATTTGCTGTATTGTGTTTTTGTACAAGTGTGCATAGGTGAAAGTAGCAGATGTGTCTGATCATGTTTGCTATGGGGGGCCCAAGAATGTTCACCCGCAAGACCCCAACGTGGGTCCTGGCACACCAGGCTGGAGCCCACCTGAAAGCTTGTCTAAGTCTCCACAGGTATCAGCCCCTGGTAACCTGCCTTGTTCCTCAGTAGCCTGGGTGCAGCAGTTGTCTTTGGTGTACCAAGCAGCCCAGGCAAGTACTGAGGAGCATCTTCTGTCTTCTGCCCTTCCAGGGCGACCAGGGTGGTGAGAGTTCTTTGTCGGCCTCCAAGTGGAACACCTTCCTGAAAGCCATGCTGGTGTGCAGTGACCCAGCCACCAACAGGAACTTCAATCGACTGCAGGATGTCTTCTTGCTCCCTGACCCCAGTGGCCAGTGGAGGGACACCAGGGTCTATGGTGTTTTCTCTAACCCCTGGTGAGGAGTAGTTAGTGACATTAGCAGAGACAGCAGGCGTAAGGCTTGAGCTGTTACTAGGTGTGGTTGTCGTAGGCAATGTGATGTGTGTCCTATTGTGTTTTTGCCTTTGTGCACACGGTGTGTGGCCCTGGGCCCTGATTGTATTCCTGCCTATGTGTCCTGGCATGTGTGTGCTCAGAGCTGATACTAGGCCTGGAAAAGACTGAGAGCCCTCTCCTGGGGTGCTGGGTGAGATCGCACCTGCTCAAACACTGCCTGATAATTCACACTCTTTAATCAGTTTCATTGATTGAAAACAAAGCAAACAAGTGTTGGGGGTGGAGAAGAACCCTGCTTAGGCTAATGTGTGGATGGAGCCACATACTGGCTAGGACATGGAGGTCGGGGCTTTGAGGCTTTAGCACCCTGCAGCCTGTGACTGGAGGGCCCAGAGAATGACTTACTTAGCCCATGGTGGGGTTCCTCTTTCTTTAGGTGGACTAGAAAAGGCGACCTTTGAACTCCTTGATGCTGTAACAGAACCCAAGGTTGTGGTTTTAGATTGCAGTGGGGAGAACTTAGTTGAACTTGCCTCCCTCCCTCCTTTTGTTCCTCCCCTGTTTCTACTTTGTGTGATATGCTAGGCACTGGGCTCTGCTTCAGAAATAGTCTGGCTCATAGAGCTTGCAGGCCGAGGACTGTGATTGTGTTCTGTCTGGCATGGGGCTGACCAGGGTAAGTGGAGGTGGGTGTATTCTGGGCCCCCTACTAAGGTGGCTTGTCTATCCTTGCAGGAACTACTCAGCTGTTTGTGTGTATTCTCTTGGTGACATCGACAAAGTCTTCCGTACCTCTTCACTCAAGGGCTATCACATGGGCCTTCCCAACCCTCGACCTGGCATGGTGAGCTGTTGACCAACCACGGCCCAGACCCCAGCCCTTCCTGGTCTCACCTCCCAGTCCCCTACTAACCTACTTCTTTTCTCTTTTCCAGTGCCTCCCCAAAAAGCAACCCATACCAACGGAAACCTTCCAGGTTGCTGATAGTCACCCAGAGGTGGCACAGAGGGTGGAGCCCATGGGGCCACTGAAAACACCGTTGTTCCACTCTAAGTACCATTACCAGAAGGTGGTCGTCCACCGCATGCAAGCCAGCAATAGAGAGACCTTCCATGTCCTTTATCTAACCACAGGTGATGGGCTGTCCCAGAACTCTCTGATTTACTTTGTAAAAATAGATAGGAACCATTCTTTGTTATGGTACATACCTTTAATCTTACTACTCAAGAGGCAAAAGTAGGTAGATCTCGGTGAGTTCAAGGCCAGCTTGGTCCACATAGTGAGTTCCAGACCAACCCATACTATGTAGTGAGACCCTGTTTTTTGTTTTGTTTTTTTTTAAAAAAAGAAAAACAAAAGTTATGGACGGTATAAAGAACCCTGTAGGTAACATTTATGTGGGCCTTTAGGTGTGAACAGAGAATTGAGTGGACAGAGCTACCAGGAGTTAGTGTGTTGAGCTGTGGACGCTCAGGCCGAGAGGGAGGGCTTCCTGGAGGGGGTGAGGCAAAGGGGAAGCTTCCTGAGTTGAGAGAAAAGCATGCACTAGAGCTTGAGGCAGAAATGCGGTGATTGAGCAAAGCCAGGTACAGCTCTGGCCCAGGTGTCTCTCTCAACGGAGAAGGAACCAGGAGAGACAGGGAAAGCTAGCTGGGTGTGTGTGTAGGGGGAGGGACTTGAGCGCTGGACCTCCTGGGAGCCTCTGTCCTGCAGAATAAGGAGCATGGGCCTTCCATTAGACTTTGGGGCTATGCAGGCGAGAGGAAGCATTTGAAAAGTTGGTAGGGCACAAGAAGTTGCTGAAGGCAAAGCTTCATAGAGGCCTGAGATAGCATCTCCCTTTTCCTTCCTGGAGAGGCCTCCCTGAGGGAGGCTGAGTGAATGCCCTGGAGGTGCTCCTTTGTTCCAGAAAGCCTCTCTACACCCTGAGCTTAGTTTGTTTCTACCTCCTCATCCCAGGTCTTGGTCAAAACAGGGGTGGTGTCCTGAAAATAGCCTCGGAGACCATTGTGGGCCTGGCCATAGGCCTTCCTGGAGACTAGAAAGGACCCCACACCTCTGGGACCATTCTTCAGGGCCCAGGCCCCATCCTTCAATTGTTCACACTCTTTGAAGAGGCTTCCTGTTGCTGCTTCACTTTGGGGCTTCCTTGGCCACATTGGCCTGGTTGGAGGCTAAAGTCCTGGGTCATTGTTTGGCTCTTGGAAATCTTAGGGAGAGGAATTTCCCACAGGACATTGGGGACAAGGGAAGAGAGGTCACACAGTGCAGGATGGGGAAGGCTGGACTTGGGCCCAAGGAGCCCTGCTATTCCCTTCCTACATGCCTGGGCTGCAAGCATACTCAGGGAACAGAGAGGGAATCTCTTATCTTCCTGGCGGCCCATGGGAGAGACCAGTTTAGAGCCTGCAGCGTTTAGAAATATTGGGGCCAGATAAAAATAAAAAATTCTCTAGGTCCTCACCAGAGATTGGAAACTCTTACAGTGAGGACTAGCTGTGTGTCTGCTTGTCTGTATGTATCTGTGTCTGTGTGTCTGGGGTGAGAGCAGGGGCTGTGTCTGGGGCTTTGTCCGGTCCAACTAGTGTTTGGCCACATCTCAAAGCCTGCCAGTTCAAACACTGAGCCTAGAGGAACTGTCTCAGGTAGGTATCATCTGACTGCTTTTTTGGGGCAGATAATGCCCTGGGAAATGGGATGGTAAGAGAAAAGAAAGCGGCTATTCTAGAAACTGGGACAGCAGTTGAGGTGGGATTAGGAGGACCAGGGTCAGAATACCCATTAGTCCCCAACAGGTGCCAACGGAGAGAGACAGACAGTCTGGTTATGTGACCTTGGGAGCCCTCATATGGAATTCAAGGTTCTTTTCAGATCTAAGATTTTTACAGAAATTAAAATATCCCTTAAGACTAAGAGCAACGTGGAATCCTGGATTGACTTCGGGAACAAAAGAAGGACATCAGTGGAAAAACCCAAGAATCCCAAATGAAGTCTGTAGTTGAGCGAATAGGAACTCACTGGTGTCAATTGCTTAGTTGTGACAAATTCCCTCCGGTTATGTAAGATCTTCAGCTGGGGAAACTGGGAGAAGGCTAGGCAAGGACTCTATACTATCACTGCAACTTTTCTGAAAATCTAAAATTACTCCTAAAATAAACAATTAAAGCCAGTGTATCCCCCTAAGTACCTCAGAGGCAGGCAAGTTAAAAAGAAAGCCAGAGGTGGGGTTCTGACCCATCTGGGTTCCAATTTGCTCCCCGCTGTTCACCATCTGTGTGACCTTGAGCAAACAGTGCAGTTTTTCAACTCCTCCCTTCCCTTATCTGCAGAATAAGGGAGGTAACGCCTACCTCAAAGGGCAGGGGAGGGAAGGAGTAACCAAGGTAATGTGAGGTGCCAATCCCGTCGTGCTTGTTAATTGTGCAGCCTCCAATAAGCCTTTGGCATATTGGGGGCACTCATGGAGGGGACGGCCTTTTGGGATCAGCCTTGGAAACTTCCAGGCTGCCCTTGGCCTCTATCTTCCTTCTCACTCAGCTGTCCTCACCCCCACCCTACCCCAGTCCTGTGACACTCACCTGAGCCATGACTCCTAAACCCTCCCCGCCAGTGTCTTTTCCTAGCAGCCCAGCCTTGAAGAAGGCTGTCTGGCTGATGTTGACTCTCTCCTCTGCTTATTACCCATAGACAGGGGCACTGTTCACAAGGTGGTGGAATCAGGGGACCAGGGACACAGCTTCGTCTTCAACATCATGGAGATCCAGCCCTTCCACCGTGCAGCTGCCATCCAGGCCATATCATTGGATGCTGACCGGGTGAGCTGTCCCACCCTTCCTTGCACCCTTGGGACCACCCAGAGAGCTGTGGGAAGTGGGGGAAGGGCTACTCTGTTTGCAGTTTGCATGTCCTTTCAAGGACCTCCAAGGTGGCAGGACCCCTCGTCAAGGGTCGAGAACCCAGTGGAGGGCTCTGGCCTGACCCAGCCTTGCTCTCTTTGCAGCGGAAGCTATACGTGAGCTCCCAGTGGGAAGTGAGCCAGGTGCCCCTGGATATGTGTGAGGTCTACAGCGGGGGCTGCCATGGCTGCCTCATGTCCCGAGATCCCTACTGCGGCTGGGACCAGGATCGCTGCGTGTCTATCTACAGTTCCCAACGGTACATTGGACAAATCCCTTTGCCCCAAGGAAAGGTGGAACTGAGAATGGGGAGGCACTGATTCTGGGGTCACATGAGGATAAGTGGGGTGCTGCGCTGCAGCCTCCCATCTGCTGATATCTGCTCCTCCTCCTTCTAGGTCAGTGCTGCAGTCTATTAACCCAGCTGAGCCACACAAAGACTGCCCCAACCCCAAACCAGGTATCTCATTTAATCCTACCCTTGGGCCCCAGCAGAGCTACGCCTCAGTTACCTTTGATCCCTTGATCTGCAGAAGGCATGGCCTTGACCTGAGGCCCTGTACCACGTCCTGCTGAGGGAACTCACGTGATATAGGGTGCTTTTGAGAGGGGTGGGGGTGGGGGAGAATGCAAGAAAAGAAAACCTAAAAGTCAGGATCCACCCCTCTCTACCCTGTTCCTTCAGAAGCCTGCTCTAGAAGCCTCATCTGCAGAACTCAGAGGCTCCCAAGGTGCTCTTGACCCCTCCTCATGCCTGTTTCCCCTTCTTCCGCAGACGATGCCCCACTGCAGAAGGTTTCCCTGGCCCGAAACTCTCGATACTACCTGACCTGCCCCATGGAGTCCCGCCACGCCACCTACTTATGGCGCCATGAGGAGAATGTGGAACAGAGCTGTGAACCAGGCCACCAAAGCCCTAGCTGCATCCTTTTCATCGAGAACCTCACAGCCCGTCAGTATGGTCACTACCGCTGTGAGGCCCAAGAGGGTTCCTACCTCCGTGAGGCTCAGCACTGGGAGCTGCTGCCTGAGGACAGAGCCCTTGCCGAACAGCTAATGGGCCATGCTCGGGCCCTGGCCGCCTCCTTCTGGCTGGGAGTCCTGCCCACACTCATACTTGGCCTGCTGGTTCACTAGGGCTTCTAGGAGCGTGGGGCACCCCAGGCTTCTGTAACCCAGGAGTACTAGAATAAGTCACACTCACAGCCGGCCGGCCCGGGAGCTCGTTGTCCACCGATTCTTCCAGGGGTACTAAATAATCCAGTGGGGGACAAAGGGCATGGAGATGTCCAGCCGCAGGCGGCTGCTGGGGCCCAGGTGGGGTAGGGACAGTGAGGGACTGCAAAATGAAGGCATCGACTGTGAAGCTGGGCCATCAGTGACCCCAGACTTTATCTTCCCAAGACTATTTTTCAAAATCTCCTCACACTTGACTTCGTGCAGCGATGCACTTGGCCTGAGAGCCCAGCAGCCTGGCAGTGGCTTTGGGAAGGAAGTTGGGGCTCTCATCTCTGGACCTTGGGGCCCAGGCCTGGGTCCTTTGGGACCACTGTGCCCAACTGCTTCCTTCCCTGCCCCACTGCTGGGTGGCCAGTGTTCCTGCAGACCCAGGCTGCTCCTCTGCACCTCCCTCACAGCCTGGGTCCCACCGGACAGCGCCTTGCATGTTTATTGAAGGATGTTTGCTTTCCGGACGGAAGGACGGAAAAAGCTCTATTTTTATGTTAGGCTTATTTCATGTATAGCTACTTCTGACTGCATCTGTATGAAATACCAAAACTACATGCTGGGGGGCGGGTAGAGGGAGGGCTTGGGAAGGGAGGGTGGGGGCTCATCCCAGGCTGGGGCTCCCTGGGATGGAATTGGAGTCCAGGGATAGGCATGGGTTTGAAGAGCGTGGCATGAGCTGGCTCTGCCCCGAGAGCCCAGTCTGAGGGCATGAGCCTCCAGTATGGGGTGGTTAGGGAGGGGTGGGTGAGGGAGACAGGGGAGAGCGAAGAAGAAAACTGAGCCCTAGGTAGATTTGCCGTGGTCATTTTGAAGGAGGAGCCGGGTCCACAGGGGGAGGTTCCAGGACTCTGCCCTTGGCGTTGGGGGTTGGGGGGGCAGGGGGAGACTCCTCCCTTCCCTTCAGCCCCCTTCCCCAGGGGCTGTGCTTCCATGCTCCTAGCCTCCCACCTTCAGCTCAGGACATGTCCTAACTTAGGCTAAACTGTGAAAATTCCCGTGGAGATGGCCCAGGCCGAGCTCTCCAAGTGGGCCTCCCTGCCCCCAGTCCATGGATTTCAGCAGAGAGCTGACCCTTCTCCAGCTGTGTCTGGGGTGGGGCCTGGGGCCGGGGGCCTTCCAGCTTCCGTCCCTTATCTCTTCTCAATGCACTTTAATAATGTAACATATTACTAATAAACAAGCTATTTATTTACCTCTGCCTGCTCCCTGTCTTCCATGTCTGTGGCGCTGAGTGGGGTGAGCCTCCTGTTGGTCACTCGGTGCCTCTTGTCTGCGAGCATCACTGTCTCAGTTTTCCCAAGTGATTCTGCTGGCAGGCCGACTCAGAGGACCTCAGCCAATGAAGGGAAGAAACAGGGGATGTGAACTTGCGGCCACTCAGCAAACCTCAAGCCTGCAGCCCTTTCCTCCCATAGCTTGAACGGCTTAACCTTCCAAGTCTCTGCTTCCCCTGGGAGACCTGGCCAGAATGGCTCTAGAGGCAGCTACCAGGCCTCCCATCTGAGAGGGGAAACTGACCAGTGAGGACCTTTAGGATACGCTGGAAGGCTGTGTGCAAGAGGCTGGTGGGGCCAGGATAGGACCAAAGAATGGTTGTTTGCTCTTGGTCAGGCAGCTTGGAAAAGAGAGTGGGCTGCATGCCATTCTGCTCTAACTCGAGCATCCCCTGTTAGAGAAAGGATCAGAGCAGAGGCAGGTGAGAAAGGGGAGGAAATGAGGAGGCTGCTCAGTGGATGGAGGTCAGTCAGGACTAAGGACAGTGGCTACGGGATAGATGTGGGGATAATACCTGACAGCTCAGAAAGGAGCCCAGATATTCCCCCTTATGACCTTCCCTATGGTTGGTTTTCTCTACCCCATGAAAAAAAATTATTATTTTAGCTGGGTGGTGGTGACACATGCCTTTAATCCTAGCATTGGGGAGGCAGAGGCAGGAGGATCTCTGAATTCGAGGCCAGACTTGTCTGCAGAGTGAGTTCCAGGACAGGCTCCAAAGCTACACAGAAAAAACTCTGTCTTGGGAGAAAAAAAAAAAAAGAAAAACAACAACACCCCCACTCCCAAGATTTATGTGTATGGATGCTTTGCTGCATACATGTTTGTGCATCATATGCATGCCTGGTGCTTGCAGAGACCAGAAGAGGGTGTTGGATCCCTTGGAAGTGGAGTTACATTGGATAGTGGGTAGTAATAAGTCACCATATGAGTGCTGGGAATTGAACCTGGGTCCTTGAAGATCAGTCATTGCTTTTGACCACTGAGTCATCTCTCCAGCCCTGTCTGCCCCATTTTGTTTTTGTGTCTTTGTCCATCTGGGGCAGGGACCAAGGTCTTTGGAGCTTCTTAGGAGCTTTCCTACTGAAGTAGTAACTGCTGGAGAGGGGTGGTTAGCCTATCTGGGACAGTTTCTGTGAGTCAACCTAGCTTCTAGAGAGCTATGAAAGATTGGGAAGGCCCTAACCCC